ACTCTTCTAGAACATGGCCACACAGCCTGAAAAAACCCACAAAAAATCACTCTGAACAAATCCTGCAAAAATAAAAGTGTGATAGATTTGCTTTTAGGATAATCATAAGTTGGAAAACAACCTGAAGGTACACAATAGAATCAGGTATTAGGAATGTTCATCGATGGGAGTGTGTGGTGTTGCCCATCTGTGGTCAAAGTTTGACTGACAAAGCATAGGAAACCTCTATATCACATAGCCCCAGTCTGCATGATCTGAGGGGATGGATATTGCAGTCCCAAAACTTCTGGAGAGGCACAGCCTGCCTACTACTCATGGTCTAATGAATGTAGCAGACGTGTATAGGGAAACAGGTCTGTAGACAAACAACAGGAGGGGGATTCACATCTAGATTAAGTAAAATTGATTGAACATGGGCTATATAGCAACAGAACAAGAAGGACAAGCACATGGTTAGAATGATCTGGGGACCCTAGGAAAGATAACATTCAGCTTTTAGAGTAAAGACAGGGGATTATGAGCAGATAAGCTCTGTGTTTTGGATCTTTGTCACTGATAAATCCTGTACTGTTGGCAATTGGATTTTACGAGAAGCTGATATTTTAAAATGCTTTTGCATGGCTACATAAGCCATCACAGCCTGACGTGGTGTTCCTTGGTGTCCTGATCATAATAACAGGATGAGAGGTGCACCATTCCATTACACAGTGGACAAGAATGTTTCCACATTAATATCAGGCACTGGGACAATACATTCCGAAGAATAATTGTGCTTCCTTCTTGTACTTTTGGCATTTAAAATGGGTTTTTATGTGTTTCATTAAAGACAAATGCCATTCTTTGCTATTTTCTTGACAAGATTTGTTCAGAGGGGATTTGCCTTTGACTTCTTCTGGGGCTGAGAGAGTTGTCATGCCCAAGGTCACTCAGCGGGTTTCCATGCCTGAGCGAGGATTGAAACCTTGGTCTCCAGTGTCACAGTCTGACACTCAAATCACTATATCACACCTGCAAGGGATCTTCAAAAGAAGGTGGGAAACTCCAACGTACGTTTGTTTTGTCTTGCATATACACATGCTTAGGTGTTGTCCAAACAAATTTAATTTATTCCATTTAAATGACATATAAAATTTATTCTAAAACCATTATCAAAAGTAAACACTAAAGAGGATCCAAGACTGGGAATTTTAAAGCAGGGATGGAAATCAGGTAGCCCTACAGATATTGCTTGTCTGCAAGTCTCAGCTGCATAAGTCTCCAGAGTTAATACAAGGGACACCACCAGACAAGGCTAAGAAAGAAACTTCCCTGAAACTCTGAGGAACCACTGCCAGTCAGAGTTGACAATACTGGGCCAATAGTCTAAGCCATTATAAGGCAGCTTCCTCTATTCCCTAGGGCCTGTGTTGCTTCTAATGTATTTCTCAACCTAGCTTTTTGGATAGCCTAGTTGTTAAGGAAAAGGATCTTGTAACTTTCTTGACTGGAAGTTCAAATGCCTGCTGGCTAATAGAAATCAGACAGGAGGAACACTGCAGGCCAGCTGTGGGCAGCATGTGGCCCATGGACCACATGCACTTCCCTACTAGGAATTTACCTGCTCCTGCAAAGCTGTTTAAAAACATAACCTGGCGGCAGTAACAGCAACAACATTTTCCTTTTAATTTTGACAGTAGATCACTGAAGTTTGGTGATGTGGCATCTAAAAGAGTTAAACAAGCAATTTTCTTTTTTTAAAAAACGTATGAAAATACACACTTTGTTTTCAAACTGATTAACTACTGAAAGCCTCCTGGAAGCAGCAATCAGTTTCAAAATAAAAGGCATACCCCACCTCCAACATTTTTTAAAAAATTGATTTTTATCAACACACACATTGTTACATACATACATTATTACAAACATTAATACATACGTTACATACATTATACAATCATAGATTGCTTGCACTTGTGTGATTCATTTTAACGATGTTTAATTTATGATTGTTTAATATTTTTTAAGGGGTGGGTAGATTTGGGATTGTGATTTTATTGTATTGTATTGTAAGCTCATGTTTAATTTTAATGCTGTAAGCTGCCTAGATTGCTCTGCAGAGGGGTGGGATAATAATAATAATAATAATAATAATAATAATAATAATAATAATTAATTAATTGTATAAATACAAACATTTTGCAGATGAAAACAAGAATGCATGTGGCCAAGCAACATCAGAATGTGGTCAGGATGGCAAAATTTATTAATGAGGGAGAACGTATAAGTTAGGAAAGGCTACAGCAGTTTGCTTTTGTCTGAGCCTACTGGTTAAGGGCAAGATTCAAATCCATCCTCTCCTCTCCCCTCTGCTGACTTAACAGTACACATTACTTGTGCTCTTTGAACTTGGTTTGCAGCACTTGAAGTAAGCTGAGGACAAAATGGGCAAGTGGGAGGAGGAGAGAAAAACTGGGACATTTTAAAAGCTACTGAAAAAAGTGAGGTGTTATAAGATTACGGTAATAGGGACTGTCCTTGTCAAATCAGGACAGTTGAGGGGTATGGATGCATGCTGTTCACATACTTTGCTTTAAAGAGAAAATGCTTATTTGTTTCTGCCAACACCACCACACTATGGCTGGTGATGCAGCAGTGGGGTATCCTTGGGTTGCAGGGTGGTAATGCAGCACCTTTATAATCTTAAATATACTTACCATTGTTCTAGACCAATATTGCATCCAAACACATCCCTCAAGATATTTCATTGCAACAATAGCATTGCTGAAGAACTAGACACTAGTTTTGGTCACTTACACATTGTTAAAGAAGAAGATGAAAGAGGGCACCGATCTGCCTATTTTAATTTATACATGGTTAGAAAGAACTGCTGTATTTAAGTAGAAATACAATACATCTTACTGTAAGAAGGAACGGCTCCTAGATAACCTGTGTCTCTGCTCACTGAACCTTTCCAGGGTAAATGTTTTTTCTTTCTTTCCCTTTATGATGAAGGACCTTGGTTAGCTATAAAGCTTGATCACCTTATGTTAAGCTGACAAAACTGGAACTGAAGGCCCAGGCTTGTATAGTGCAGGAGCTATATCTGTTGATTTGACGACAGATGTAAAAAGTTGCAATCTTCAGTTCTTGTTGATGGAATGAGGTGTCAAGGAAAAAGCAACATGGGACATACAGTAATAGAAATA